CAAAATATTTTTTTTTTATAATAATATGAAAAGTATATCTATTATATGTCCAAGAATTTCAAAATCATTTAATTTTTTAATAATATTGAAAACAAAAATACTCCAATTTATTACACAACATGGAACCCCAATAAATACATGGAATTAATAAAACATATTTGCGCTATATGCTTATCACATGTTGACAGTTTTCGCAATTTTTTATTTTAAAGTTTATCGTTGGTGTGGCATCAAATTGCGATTTTTGAAATGGAGAACGTAGTAATTTTTTTTTCATTTTCGAATTCAGCCCAATTTTTTGTTATAGTATTTTGTTGCTTTTCGTAATCAAATTTTCTAGAAAAAGTGAGTTTTTTGATTTATGTTATTAACCCAAATCTAACGAAACTGCGAATTTTTTTAGGAACACGCAAGTGTTAAGAAAAATTCGTTTTTCTAAAAATTTTGGTTAGGGGCCCAACAAGATTTTGACGTTGTCCCTTGTACACATATATCAAAAAAATTTAAAGCAGAAGCACTTCCTGAAATATTAAACTGAATATATTATACATATAACTAATTAAAAATTTTATTTTAATTTAATTTGTTTCAAAGAAACGGTTTTCATCAAATATGAAATTCAGATCGGTCACTAGAATGTAATTTCTGAATATACTATATCTTATAACGGTTTGCAATTAGTAAGATTTAAAAATATAACCAGTAATAACTAATAAAATATTCTACCCGATCGCAAACATACAAAAAATCAGAAATACGTTAAGTTGTCAGTTAATAAATCATGGAAGAATTCTTCTTATGAAATGTACTTATTTGTATTCATTACAAGTGCTTTGCATACCTTCCTTGTGGCATTTCGATCAGTTCTTAGGTAGTTAAAAAATTCATGACTCACATCAATAGAAATAACTTTTCTTTGAAGAACTTTCCCAATAATTATTACAGTTACATAATTGTGTTTTCCGAATTTAATAGAAAAACGAATCACGATTTGTTAATCGCTAAAGAATTTATATTTGCTCATCAACCTATGTGTGTATAAAAATTTTGATGATCAAATAAGTTTATTTATACATATTATTTTCAATTTTCATTTTACTCTGAAATTAGGGCATCCTGTAATATGTAAGTACCAACTCTAAAAGGCCGAACATTAAATAATTACGTATGTAGTCTTTTTAGAGACATGATAATATTATATAATTGTATGGCAGGCGACATGGTGACTAGTCGAAAATTGAATTATAATCCGTTATTTCCTTTGACACCCGCGAATTCCACTGCAGAATGAGGAAGATGATGACTGACTTCAATCCAATTAACGTTTTCGAGAAAACCGGACATGCTAATTTAAAACAAACTAAGTAACTAAATTACGCACGCGTTTAATCTATTTAGATTGAATAAAAACTCCATTTTAAATATTAGGTATTCAAAACAACAAACAATATCATTTTAAACGTGTATTAATTATATATACACATGTTACTGTTAATATGTTTACTAGACCAGTTTGTACGGTAGGAAAAGACAACATTTACGAAGTCAGTGTTTTTGTTCACTTGTACTTCGTAAAAGGAAATGCATGGCAACAACACTCAAAAATATTTAACTAAGCATATTCGAGAATTTTAAAAAGCATTTTTTTTGTATTTTCTTTCTATTTATAGGATTTCGATTAAAAGGAAACAAAACAAAAATATTTAATTTTGAAATTTTGATTGCCACATTTCCAGACTTTATTAAAAATTTATTCTTCTAAAATATGCTATCCCTCTGTTTTTAAATGAAAATTATTACAGGTTCGGTATTTTTTAAAAATTACCAATACAGCTATGTAAAATAAACACAATAGGTTAGGTTNTAAACATAAGAACAATAAGTTCCAAACTTTTTGTATGTCCCTTATATAGTTATGTCAAGGAAACATAACCTAATAACAACATACATTTTCAATCAATTTATTATAATTAATATTGATATATTAATGATCATCGTTAGGGGATTATTAGGAAAATTGTGTTTTTTCTGTCTTACAAATATTTATTATTGTACCTATTGTTTGTAACAAAAATTGGATTGGTTTAAAGTAATTATATACCTTTATCGATTACCTAATCATTATTTTTGTTTGCACTAAAACATCACTTACATTAATTAACTACAAAAAGAACGTTAACAATATATTTCAAGCTAATTTTAGAACAGAAAGGCCTCCCAGTGTAATTTTCATTTAACCACAGTTTTACGCAATTATTAGTTCATCGGATATTGACACTGGCGAATTGTATTTAATATGTCATGTTCATAGAATGCGCATACATTTTTATGCAACAAGGGACATTAATATTAAAAGTAATTAACGTATTATTTTACGGACAAACTGTGTTTATGTATATCCGAACATACGCCTTTTATATTAAATTTGCTTTTATTTTGTTTCAGATGGTTGCATTTAGGTTTCAATCTGGTGGTGCAACTGTTGGTAGGACTTCCTTTAGAAATGGTCCACGGTTCGGGACGTGTAGCTCTAATTTATATAGCAGGTGTAGTGGCAGGATCACTTGGTACCTCAGTCTTTGACAGCGATGTCTACCTCGTAGGCGCATCTGGAGGTGTCTATGCCCTTCTTGCAGCTCATTTAGCCAATGTTCTCCTCAACTACAACAACATGCAGTGTGGTATATTGAGGCTTCTAGGAATATTTGCAATAGGTAATATTGTTTGTTTACAATTCAAGAACATATATTGCTGAACCTGGCTTGTTGCCTGTATATTACAGTTTCCTGTAAATTAACTGTAATATCACTTAATCATTCACTACCAGATGGTGATTACCAATAGGAAAGCGAGGCTACTCAGCCAGTACTTGGCAAAAATGTTTTAATAAGTGGTGCTAGTGACTAATGGGAAGATTTTTATTAGTCTGTTTTTTTTTTCAGCCTCTTGTGATGTTGGGTATGCGATTTATTCGCGATACGCGATGGAAACGATGGGTCCTGCCATTTCTTACGTGGCGCATCTTACGGGGGCACTGGCAGGTCTAACGATAGGTCTTCTGGTGTTGAAAAATTTCGAACAAAAGCTTCACGAGCAGCTCCTGTGGTGGATTGCTTTGGGTGTGTACGCGGCGTGCACAATTTTCGCAATTCTCTTCAATATTATGAATCCTAGCCCCGATAACGTACAAAATGTTGGAGATGGAGTAAATACGCAATATGTTTATAATCGGTTTGGAGTCTAACGAATGTTATTTTATTTTTCCCTTGTTAGTCATCTATCTCAAAGCCGTATTTTCCTGTCGTTTTCCCATAAGTCGTGTAAATAGAAAAATTATATTTATTTGTTAAGTTAAGTCATTTAAATGCATACCAGTTTCCGTATTAAGAAAAGAAAGAATAATGAAGCAAACTTTGGCTATGGTTTATTTTTTCAAAAATTGCGAAATGCGCGTTATTTTACAGTATTTAAAAAAATATTATGATGAATCGATCTGAGCTTTTGTAAAATTATTTATGTATTACGTTAACTTGTGGTATTATTTTGAATGTTGGCATGATAGCCGAGACTGATAAATATCGATTTTGGAAATTGTCGTTTAGAGTTAAAAAGAATTAATATTTTTTCATTGTGTAAAAGTGTTCGTTCGTGAGTTATTAGGATGATAGAAGTTTTTGTTGTAAATATATTCCGAATGTATATATACTAAGTCGCGATTTATATTTATTATTTATATTGATGCCAAAGACTGAAAAAAAACAAGCATAAATGTCTTTATTTATTACCATTATTCCTGTATAAAGAAGCTGCTGACAAGTATATGCATAACTACATATTTCTATTTAGTGCTTGTAAAAAATATCACTTTTAGGTAAATTTTTAACAAGTCTCTCTGATTGTGTAGACATTTTTTGTTATCAATATTTTTATGTTTAAGTTTCAAAACATAAAGCAATTAAATAGATAATGTTTAGAGACACAATAAATTGCATTTTTAAGTTATTATTATGAGTAAAAGGTGTAGTAGAGTTTCTTTCGGTCTTTAAAAAGGTTTGCCAACAGCTTCTTTGTTTTTTGAGTTCTTTTTTTGTGTCGTTAACGTTTACAATGCAAGGTAATGATATGTTAAGATGAGATGGTTGTAAATGAATGTTAGTATAAAAAAATAACGTATGAGTGATATTATTAAGCTAGTCATACGTATATTAAAAATGAGAAGCCTACCAAAGAATACTAGTTGACTTTATACACAGATGGCCTTATACAGTAACAGTAGTTATATTTTTCACAAAGAACACGATAAAGTCGTATTTTTACATCACACACTCAGGTAGAATTTTCACTTTTTTTTATTACGAACAGAACTGAAGTAGTTTAGACTAGACATATATTCCATTTGTTACTAAATTTCTTGTTCGATTTTTGTCACAGTCTTTATTAACTATTAAAAGTTCAGTAAGAAAATAAATTATACTTGAAGCAACACGTGTTTTTTCTTTATTGCTGCGAAATGTTGAAAAACATGAAGTTGGAGACAACGAGTATGTAAGTAAAATGCATGCATTATTCTGTTTTAAGTTTTCAGCCACTTAATCGCCATTTATAAAACGCTCTTGGGCATGAAAACCTTTAAAGTGATACAGTATGCGAAGAAAAGTATTTTCATCATTTATGATGCTTCTACAGGTTTATTAGATGATATTTTTTGGACCGTAATACCGATTCTTCAGGTTTGTTTTTAACAATTAATTTTAAAACAGGCTTTCGTTTTGTTGGTTAGTCTTTTATTTGCCTCGCGCTATTTTTGAAAATGAGTTTTCTGTTATGTAGCTGCAATTTTCAAAATAAGTTCATAACTTTTTGTATAACCTATGTATTTGGATTTCGTTTTACAAGGCAATAATTACTTGTATTTGTGTAAATTTATATTTATGATATAAAAAATTTTCTTTAATGATCTGAATATGTTATTTTGCTTCTTTAAATTAATTATTGCTCCACAGTTTGGTCAAATATGGACACATTAGTATTAGATAGGCTATTTTGAATTATTTGCTCATAACAAAAAAAAGAAAAAGCCAAATTATCAATAAATGTGTAAAAGTAATTTTAGGACATATTTTACCTACTTGTTATTAGCTTCTTATAAATTACACGTATGTAATAAACATAAGAACAATAAGTTCCAAACTTTTTGTATGTCCCTTATATAGTTATGTCAAGGAAACATAACCTAATAACAACATACATTTTCAATCAATTTTTTTCAAAGTTTTTTCAGAATAGTTACCAGAGGAAATAATTGTTATTACTTTTTAATACATTAACAGCTATTAATAATTCAGTTTTTCGAATTGGTGTGTATAAAAAAAGAGAAAAAGCTGCATATATTATTCTGATGGTTCTAAGACCAGTTGCACTCAAAATAGCAAGAACTGTGGAAGACGATATATTATATATCTTGAAAATAAATATAGAGAACAATTATTTATTTAATGATGATCTGTGTATGAAAGTGGTTCTTCTTCGTAGGGAAGAATGTTGCGAAGGTTTTTGAATACATTAATTGAGACATCATTGCAGCCCTATCAACAGGATTATTTAGTTTATCCAAGCCCTTTTGTTCAAAAAGAACTTTCCTGTTTTAACTGGTTGACATCTGCTGCCCCATGTTTTCCCATAAAAGCACAAAACATCACTATTTTAAACGAGCCACAACAGTTTTACAACTGTTTAGTGGAAAATTGTACTGAAGCAAAAAGCAGAATAATATTGGCAAGTCTTTATCTAGGAAATGGAGCGTTGGAACAAAGTCTGGTTGACACAGTAATGAGTAATAAAAATTTTATAAATGGTAATTTAAAATTAAGTGTTTTACTGGATTATACACGTGGAAGTAGGTACCAAAACAATTCAAGAGCTATGCTTAAACCTTTGCTAGAGAAAAATGAAAACAACATATTGACACTGGCGAATTGTATTTAATATGTCATGTTCATAGAATGCGCATACATTTTTATGCAACAAGGGACATTAATATTAAAAGTAATTAACGTATTATTTTACGGACAAACTGTGTTTATGTATATCCGAACATACGCCTTTTATATTAAATTTGCTTTTATTTTGTTTCAGATGGTTGCATTTAGGTTTCAATCTGGTGGTGCAACTGTTGGTAGGACTTCCTTTAGAAATGGTCCACGGTTCGGGACGTGTAGCTCTAATTTATATAGCAGGTGTAGTGGCAGGATCACTTGGTACCTCAGTCTTTGACAGCGATGTCTACCTCGTAGGCGCATCTGGAGGTGTCTATGCCCTTCTTGCAGCTCATTTAGCCAATGTTCTCCTCAACTACAACAACATGCAGTGTGGTATATTGAGGCTTCTAGGAATATTTGCAATAGGTAATATTGTTTGTTTACAATTCAAGAACATATATTGCTGAACCTGGCTTGTTGCCTGTATATTACAGTTTCCTGTAAATTAACTGTAATATCACTTAATCATTCACTACCAGATGGTGATTACCAATAGGAAAGCGAGGCTACTCAGCCAGTACTTGGCAAAAATGTTTTAATAAGTGGTGCTAGTGACTAATGGGAAGATTTTTATTAGTCTGTTTTTTTTTTCAGCCTCTTGTGATGTTGGGTATGCGATTTATTCGCGATACGCGATGGAAACGATGGGTCCTGCCATTTCTTACGTGGCGCATCTTACGGGGGCACTGGCAGGTCTAACGATAGGTCTTCTGGTGTTGAAAAATTTCGAACAAAAGCTTCACGAGCAGCTCCTGTGGTGGATTGCTTTGGGTGTGTACGCGGCGTGCACAATTTTCGCAATTCTCTTCAATATTATGAATCCTAGCCCCGATAACGTACAAAATGTTGGAGATGGAGTAAATACGCAATATGTTTATAATCGGTTTGGAGTCTAACGAATGTTATTTTATTTTTCCCTTGTTAGTCATCTATCTCAAAGCCGTATTTTCCTGTCGTTTTCCCATAAGTCGTGTAAATAGAAAAATTATATTTATTTGTTAAGTTAAGTCATTTAAATGCATACCAGTTTCCGTATTAAGAAAAGAAAGAATAATGAAGCAAACTTTGGCTATGGTTTATTTTTTCAAAAATTGCGAAATGCGCGTTATTTTACAGTATTTAAAAAAATATTATGATGAATCGATCTGAGCTTTTGTAAAATTATTTATGTATTACGTTAACTTGTGGTATTATTTTGAATGTTGGCATGATAGCCGAGACTGATAAATATCGATTTTGGAAATTGTCGTTTAGAGTTAAAAAGAATTAATATTTTTTCATTGTGTAAAAGTGTTCGTTCGTGAGTTATTAGGATGATAGAAGTTTTTGTTGTAAATATATTCCGAATGTATATATACTAAGTCGCGATTTATATTTATTATTTATATTGATGCCAAAGACTGAAAAAAAACAAGCATAAATGTCTTTATTTATTACCATTATTCCTGTATAAAGAAGCTGCTGACAAGTATATGCATAACTACATATTTCTATTTAGTGCTTGTAAAAAATATCACTTTTAGGTAAATTTTTAACAAGTCTCTCTGATTGTGTAGACATTTTTTGTTATCAATATTTTTATGTTTAAGTTTCAAAACATAAAGCAATTAAATAGATAATGTTTAGAGACACAATAAATTGCATTTTTAAGTTATTATTATGAGTAAAAGGTGTAGTAGAGTTTCTTTCGGTCTTTAAAAAGGTTTGCCAACAGCTTCTTTGTTTTTTGAGTTCTTTTTTTGTGTCGTTAACGTTTACAATGCAAGGTAATGATATGTTAAGATGAGATGGTTGTAAATGAATGTTAGTATAAAAAAATAACGTATGAGTGATATTATTAAGCTAGTCATACGTATATTAAAAATGAGAAGCCTACCAAAGAATACTAGTTGACTTTATACACAGATGGCCTTATACAGTAACAGTAGTTATATTTTTCACAAAGAACACGATAAAGTCGTATTTTTACATCACACACTCAGGTAGAATTTTCACTTTTTTTTATTACGAACAGAACTGAAGTAGTTTAGACTAGACATATATTCCATTTGTTACTAAATTTCTTGTTCGATTTTTGTCACAGTCTTTATTAACTATTAAAAGTTCAGTAAGAAAATAAATTATACTTGAAGCAACACGTGTTTTTTCTTTATTGCTGCGAAATGTTGAAAAACATGAAGTTGGAGACAACGAGTATGTAAGTAAAATGCATGCATTATTCTGTTTTAAGTTTTCAGCCACTTAATCGCCATTTATAAAACGCTCTTGGGCATGAAAACCTTTAAAGTGATACAGTATGCGAAGAAAAGTATTTTCATCATTTATGATGCTTCTACAGGTTTATTAGATGATATTTTTTGGACCGTAATACCGATTCTTCAGGTTTGTTTTTAACAATTAATTTTAAAACAGGCTTTCGTTTTGTTGGTTAGTCTTTTATTTGCCTCGCGCTATTTTTGAAAATGAGTTTTCTGTTATGTAGCTGCAATTTTCAAAATAAGTTCATAACTTTTTGTATAACCTATGTATTTGGATTTCGTTTTACAAGGCAATAATTACTTGTATTTGTGTAAATTTATATTTATGATATAAAAAATTTTCTTTAATGATCTGAATATGTTATTTTGCTTCTTTAAATTAATTATTGCTCCACAGTTTGGTCAAATATGGACACATTAGTATTAGATAGGCTATTTTGAATTATTTGCTCATAACAAAAAAAAGAAAAAGCCAAATTATCAATAAATGTGTAAAAGTAATTTTAGGACATATTTTACCTACTTGTTATTAGCTTCTTATAAATTACACGTATGTAATAAACATAAGAACAATAAGTTCCAAACTTTTTGTATGTCCCTTATATAGTTATGTCAAGGAAACATAACCTAATAACAACATACATTTTCAATCAATTTTTTTCAAAGTTTTTTCAGAATAGTTACCAGAGGAAATAATTGTTATTACTTTTTAATACATTAACAGCTATTAATAATTCAGTTTTTCGAATTGGTGTGTATAAAAAAAGAGAAAAAGCTGCATATATTATTCTGATGGTTCTAAGACCAGTTGCACTCAAAATAGCAAGAACTGTGGAAGACGATATATTATATATCTTGAAAATAAATATAGAGAACAATTATTTATTTAATGATGATCTGTGTATGAAAGTGGTTCTTCTTCGTAGGGAAGAATGTTGCGAAGGTTTTTGAATACATTAATTGAGACATCATTGCAGCCCTATCAACAGGATTATTTAGTTTATCCAAGCCCTTTTGTTCAAAAAGAACTTTCCTGTTTTAACTGGTTGACATCTGCTGCCCCATGTTTTCCCATAAAAGCACAAAACATCACTATTTTAAACGAGCCACAACAGTTTTACAACTGTTTAGTGGAAAATTGTACTGAAGCAAAAAGCAGAATAATATTGGCAAGTCTTTATCTAGGAAATGGAGCGTTGGAACAAAGTCTGGTTGACACAGTAATGAGTAATAAAAATTTTATAAATGGTAATTTAAAATTAAGTGTTTTACTGGATTATACACGTGGAAGTAGGTACCAAAACAATTCAAGAGCTATGCTTAAACCTTTGCTAGAGAAAAATGAAAACAACTGTCACATTTGCTTGTATCACACTCCAGTACTCAGAGGACTAACTAAAACATTGGTTCCAAATAGATGGAATGAAATTTTTGGCTTACAACATATGAAATTGTATATTTTTGATGATACCCTCATAATAAGTGGAGCAAATTTATCTAATGATTACTTTACCAATCGACAAGATAGATACTATGTGATTAAAGACAAAAATTTGACTGACTTTTACAGTGGTTTAGTCAACAGCGTGCAAAGCTTTAGTTTAAGAATGGACAAACATGATAATTTGTCTTTGAATAAAGGATGGGACCATTTGCCCTATAAAGGAGACAAGATGGTGTTTGTTGATAAAGCTGCCCATATAATTGAAAAATATTTACTAGATGTTAAAGATGGGCTTAATACACACAAATGTGATGGGTATGGTAAGCTATTGATCTAAAAACTATTTAAGCAGTTTCTTCTAAAAAGGGGATAATGAAATTATCATTACTTTATTTATTTGGCAAATTAGGTACATTTGATGTTAGAAAATGAAAAGAAATAGTACAACTGTTTAAACAAAATTTTCATACTCCTATTTCATTAATACAAAAATAATTTACTTCTTAGATAAATACAACAGTAGTGCTTACATTACAAATTAATCAAATGTAATTTGCATTTTATCCCAAATTCTTTTTAGTTCACCTATATTTTTTATAACTTCTTCTTTTTCATTTAAACTCCTTAATTTATGGACAACTGGCAATATTTCTTCAACAAAAATTTCTAATCTTTTCAGGATAATTTCATTATCAGCTGAATGATTTATTTTTTCTATTTGATTAACAATAGCTTCAAGCTTTTTCTTCTTTCTTGGTGGACAAGTGTTCTTTTTTAATGAGGCTGTGAGTCTTGCTATGATTCTTCTGCACCATTCCTGAAGTTTTTCATCACTTTTCCCTGCATAGTAGAGGTTGAGGATTTCATAAACACGTTGAGCTTGCTCAGAATATATTTTAAACTTTTTCCCAGCCACTTCAGCTGCAGCTTTGTAGAATGGCTTTTGTAAAATGATATCTTCTGAGAATTCTGGTAGATTACTTAACAGTTTACAATCCATTACATCCCTAAGGTTTCTAAAGTTTTCTGAAGGATCCTCAACGGTTATATCAAAAATATTTTCTTGAGTTTCAAATACTTCATAAACTGCTTCAAGTAATTTAGTGCCTAAACCAAGTCGTTGATAGGAAGGCAAAATAAAGAATTGAGAAATTCTTGCTCTATTCTTGTCAGGGTATTTGAAGAACATATAAACAGTACAAAAACCAATTGGGTATACAATATTATTTTTATGTTCATATAAGTAAAAATAAGTCCATCTTGGATCATCTAAATCAATGAGATTAGCTGCATCAATGTACCACACAAGAACACGTTCAAATTTATCGTGTAATGTTCTGAACTCTGGTTCTATGTTGGTTATCTGAGTTACAGTAAATTTTGAAATGTCACTGTTGATTTCAAAATCAAATTTTTTTTTAATATCACCTAGAAGTTTACTTTTCTGGTGGGCTATTTGCTTTAAAAATTCGTCTTTATCAGTGCACATGTCTTCTGGAAGCCACTGTTTCAACATATCCATCACATTGTCAGCTTTGATACCATAGTGAGTGTTATCTTTAAGTTTTTCTTTATATTTTATTTCCAAATAAGGCCTCCAGCAAAACCCATTATAATAAATATTGACCTGTAAGTCCTTGTATCCAAAAATGTTCTCGTTAGCATTGTAAACTTGGTGACAATAGGCGGGCTTGTACACTTTTTTTGGTTCATTCACATCATTTGCATTGTAAACGAAATAAATATTGGTCACTTCAAAACCATTGCAGACATATGCTGAAGTATCGTAATCAGCAATTCCGGTTTCTTCTGATGCCATTCTTCTTATATTTGGTTTATCATGAAAAACCGTCAACACTACCAAAAACCTCGAAAATGGCTAATTCAAAGACTAAGGTTATGTAGGAACCAGTTATTGGACGGTTACGTCTTATCCAATCAGCATCGGTTATTTAGTGGCGCGAATAAAATCAAATCACAAACCGTCTGGTAAAACGAAAAATATAAACATTCACCCCTCGGTGTTATTTTTAAAAATGTTAAGGTGCTGAGGACCGAGCTTTTTTTATATTGTATAATTACTGATTTTAGATACATGGATCTTTCCCTTAGTACAAATGGGACAATTAGGGATAGAGCAAGACGCATACGTTACGAAGAGGATCATAGCTGAAGCACCGAAAAATTCAAAAATCTTTATGGCTACAGGATACTTTAATTTAACTCGGGACTACATGGACACCTTAGTAAGAAATTCGTCGGCAGAATGTCATCTTCTTATGGCACACCCTTGTGTAAGTACTGTACACTGAAACTGCTGCTTATGTAAAATTTAATTTTTAACGCAGGCTAATGGTTTTCATGGGGCTACAGGAGCTGCAGGGGGTATACCAGACGCATACAGTCTTATAGCCAAAAGATTTACGGAAAAAGTTGAAAAATTTAAGCAAGGCTACAGGATAAAAATGTATGAATATTTGAAGGAAGGTTGGACATATCATGCCAAGGGTTTATGGTAAAAAACAGTTAGTCAAAGTGATTTGGAATACAATATGTTCTTTTAGGTATTATCCCCCAGGAAACAATCGTCCTTCTTTAACATTAATTGGGTCGCCAAATTTTGGAGAAAGATCTGTAAAACGGGATTTGGAGACACAATTGGCAATTGTTACGGAGAACAATGATTTTCGGGAACGTTTACACAATGAATGTACTAGATTATATAAAGCCAGTTTACCCGCAGATTTAAATAGAATAATTCCGAAGTGGATTCACGCTGCAGTTTATTTTTTTAGAAGTTACTTTTAAGAGAAAATAGGAAATTAATATTGTTTATGGCTTTTTTCACGGAAAATGTTATACTTACATGTTTAAAATNTTGTTTTGTTGGATTAGTTGTTGATAAGGTATTGCTTTATAATTAACGCACTTGATAGAGTACAAGGTTTGCAAAAAAAAGCAGATTCACTTGTTATATTTTTTATTGTTGTTGTTGTGTTGCTGTTGTTGCCCCATTGTTTCTGAGTTTGAACCTATGCTTCAATCCCAGCAACAATGGAAAAAAATTAAAAAAAAAAATTTACGACTAAGAAATTACTTAGACGTCCTCTTCTTCTTCTACTGCACCTCCACCTGTTCCCTTGCGGAGGTTCTTCCTCTTAACACGACCAGGTCTGCCACCACCAAATGGCGATTTCAATGAGAAGTCAATATGCTTTTGAGAGTCCAATCTTACAACAAAAGATGGGATATTTACCACCTGCTTTCGGACTCTAAAATAAATTAGCATATTTCATTAAAACAGGACATAACCGGAATTAGATGGCAAGTGTTCAATAATTTTTAATGAGCCTATAATGTAAATTTTTAATTTGCCTTGTTGCCTTGCTGAGGTACCCAGTATTGCCATAGGATAAACGGCTAATCCTGGGGCATAAGAGCTGGTGTCATTACTCTTCGAGTTCTCTTTAGCACTGTTTTAAGTATAAATAAACTTAACCAGTGACTCTAGGCTCGATCAAAAGTTAGTAGGGGTTGTTCATAAAATACGTCATACAGAATTTTACCTTTTTGAACCCCTTTCATTCTCTTCCTCTCGCTGTTATACTTTCAACGACATTAACTTTTAAATATTCAACTGTTTAATACAATTAATAACTGTCAGTTGAGAAAAAAAAAAATTGACGAACTGCAAATGACACATTTCCTTCAAACCCGCCTTCTCTCTTACACTATCTTGTTACACTAACCAATGCCCCTCCCTCTCCCTTATTTGCGAACGTATTGTATGAACAGCCCCATAACAATTCAATATAATAAAAGATATTATCATTCATATATTTTAGTTACCTACACTTTTCTTTGTAGTTTATCTGGTAAGACGTTGAAGTCTCTGTGAGAGTTCAAGTGGCCTTACAGAATAATTATTTCAAGACATTAGACCTCAGTCTAAGTGGCCTTTGTGAATATAAGACTTAAATGAACCAAATGAAATATTACCGAATGTGCCTTTGTCTTATCAAAACTCTTGCATGATGGATTGACTTAGCCAAACCCAGCTTGAAGACTTGGGTCTGTAAACGACGTTCCAGAAAGTCTTCAATTTTAAGACCCAACACATAATCGAGCTTCATCCTGTTTTCATCCAATACTCCAATACGAACAAGACGTCTTAAAAGGGCATTTCCTAATTAAGAAATATTTTTTATAGATAACTCAACACTGACATATTTAAATCAATAAAACAAGGAAAAAATAATAATGTGTAATAACACTTTGTACCCGTTACTTTCGGCACAGAATAATCCATTAAATGGAATAAACTGCTTCCTAGTTGGGATTTAATCTACCCCTGATTAGTAATTAAACTGGCACTCTTTGTAACTACATTAGCATACAAGAGCGTGGCGTAGGGGAAAAGTAATTAATATTATTTAATAACGGAAGTACCTTCAAAAAGACGTTTAGGATCCTTTTCTTCAAGGGTAAGCAATTCTCTGGCAGCCTTACGAATTTTCGCAAGCGTATACTTCACCCTCCATACTTCACGTTTATTTCTAAGCCCATACTCGCCGATTATTTTTAATTCTTGGTCCAAACGTGCCTTTTCATAAGGACGACGTGGAGTAACGTAGGTTTTAGAACAAACTGACGGAATACGTCCGTTAACCATGGTGGCGAATTACTATAATTTAGACGAACCTTATTTGTAACATGTGATGTTTTAACATACGTATACAAAAAATAATAATCTTTGTTACCCTGCCATGAATCAGATAAGTAATAAAGTACTTTCTGGGATTAAACAAGGTAATATTCTAGCCTTATTTGATTAGAATCCCTTGCGAAAATTAAACAAAGGTTCTTGCCCAGGAAATAAGGCTTCTATTATCCGAATATATTTTAGACATCCGAACAGATAAACGGAAACTTACAATATGAATTTAATAATTTTAAAGAAGCAAAAGTAATTTGTATAAATTAAACACAAATACCTATGCTAAAGCAAAAATAATAATTTACCTACCTTTCACCACATCCAACTTCGCTGAAAAGCACACATAAAATGAAGGAGCAAAATCGGAAATCGGAAACACGTTCACATAGTTCACATTTCACTCACGAATGCTTACGAAAAAGACCGACCGAGTACCTATAAAAATGGCTGCGTTGGTTGCGTTCAACTCTCGACTGAAGAGAACCTGAACCGATAAGTTCTATAATAGTAGGGGGGCTTTAGTCGGTAAGTCTGAGGACATCTTCCTCAGGAATCCGGCACTACCCAGTCGTACGGACGGGTGGGTTCTTTTGAAGATTTCCGATCGTCCACGAAAAAAAAAAAGCATTCAACGGTTCAACAATTCAGAGCATACATAAGTGCGAAGTACAAAGTCTTAGTAGCCCTTAATAAGTTCAGATCGTAATGGCAATTATTGCAACTGATACAATAGCAATGGCATTTTCTTTAAAATGCTGTTTAACTTTTTTGTTAAGTACCCTTAATAGGGTAAATTTGAATATTGAATTCTTATCAGAGCGAAGGCAAGATACGGGCCTACTACCAATAAAATAAACAGATTATGATATAATTGATATTTTTCAGTAGCTTATTTAACAGCATGTTGTTATAAAAACATGTTTAGATTATTCACCTTACAGTTAATTACCAATTTTTTTTGTATTTTGTCATTGCTGGTTAATAGTCTATTTGAATGCAACTACTGCAAAACATTACAAAATGGAGACAAAATAAGGTCAAGGTCATAATTGTGATTGTTTACGAAAGTGATTTTAAAGGTTGGTGATTAGAATTCTTGTTCTGTCTGTGAAACAGCAACAACCTTTTGAATATTATTCAATAATTCAGTCTTGGCAACATTGTGCGTTCAGTTACCAGCATGGAAAGTCGTGTTCAGGACCACTAACTTGATCGTGGTGTTGTGTGCTTTTTTTTCAGACGCGATTTTTTTCAAGTTTGTTGGTATACGTAGTGTGTTTAGTGTCTATTTTATTTTCGGAAAGTCATGCAAGGGTGGCACGTGATTAGAATGATGCGAATCGATTTATTAATTATTTATAAATAATTTCGAGATGGTGTACCTGCGTACGCTTCAAAATTTCGCTTTTCAAAGTGCGTTGCGACGTTTCGTATTTTGGTCCGGCGATTTTCATGTTTCGAAAAATCGAAGCAAAGAAACTGGAATTATTAACATCTGGGCTAAGTCCGAGTTTAACGAACCTATTATAATATATTTAAAGTGAGTAGCTACATGTAAAAATCTAAATTTGCATTTCACTTTTTAAACTTTTATTTTTTAATCTGATTGCCTACGACTTTGTCGTCACGTAACCTTTAGCGGTTTGTCGGCTAACACTGTTTATTGACAGTGTTGTTTATCTCCTGTCATTCTCTAAGAAAATTTATTGCATTTTTTCTAGGCCCATGTCAAATCTGCTAAGGTCCTTCACACATGCAAAAAATCCAGTTTTTTCGACCATAAGAAAAATGTCTAATTCAGGTGGTGCCTCTGGTTCAAAGGTTAACGCCAATCGCCTTAATAATGAAAGGTCTCCTTATTTGCTTCAACATGCCAACAATCCTGTTGACTGGTATCCTTGGGGTGAGGAGGCTTTTGAGAAAGCAAGGAAAGAGAATAAATTAATATTCTTATCAGTTGGATATTCTACATGCCACTGGTACAGTGTAATATTGTAATACCCACTTTTAATAACAATTGTTGCAATCTCAGTATTGCTTAATCTTCATAATTAAGACATATGCCTAAGGTACCTTCTTATCATTATAATTAGTATCTAATTATATTTGCGTCAATAGCACCGCTATTAATTAAATGCCTATAATAACTTTTGTATTATACTACACTGTTAGGGCATTACATAATATCTACATTTAATATAATTTTGTTAACACAAAACTATTTTGTATTGGTCTTCGTTTCTAATTTCGTTATTTTTGAAACTTAATGCTTGATGTTCCATGAATTTCTTCATAAAATCTAGTACTTTTAATCAATTTGAACAAAGCTTCCAATGGCTGACTGTTAACCACATTTTCACTAACTGAATTCATATACACATTGTTACATTTATTTAGTTATTCTATGGTATTACTTTTTGTTTGCCGCCATTACCCAGAGATGCTTGCGCGTCGGTAGCCATATTGCAATATAACCGCAATTGCAACAAAAGCGACACGTGTTATCCGCATATATAACATTAATTTTAACGAATATTAAAGCATACCTTAAAACTTTTATCAATCTGAGTTTCATTTCGACTTACCTCCATGTTTCTTTGCTAACTGTTGGTTTTTGTTGCTTTGAACATAAATGTGGAGGGTAGATAGATGGGCGGGTGTACTGCAAGGCGTTTAATATTCTGAAAGTAAAATTATGAATTAAAAACAAGAAAAGGTATACTACTAAATTATATAAAAAAATAAACACTTCAAAAGAAGGCTGTCTTATCTTGAGCGTGTTTAATAAGTATACACAGGGTCATGATTTGACCGATAATAATGAATTGGCTGGTTAACTACTGAACTTGATCTATTGTTAGATCGAATTAAAAAAATATGTTTGCGTAAGCAACGAAATAGAAAGATTTTTGAAGTCTCGTCGACAACTAAATTATTTGTAAAAAATGTGAGTTTCGTTATATTGATTTCTTGTTTCGATCTGTGTGATCATTATAAATTGATGTCAATTAGATAATGATCACATTGATCGAAACAATTTTATCGAGAATAGTAAATCACTTAAGTGAAACTTTCTGTATTGTTTTTTCTTTCCATCAAAAATTATATACTCGATAGTTTAAATTTTATTTAAGAATTGTAAATGAAATGCTTTAATGAATTATAACAAATGATAAATTTTCCCTTTTGAGGTTTGAGTCGATTTAAAATGTATGTATTTTATTACTTAGGCGAGTCATTTAGTTTATAACTATGCAAATAAAAACTGGGTCTGTTTTACTCTGGTTTAATTAAATCAAATCTGGTCACAGACATCAAAATAAAGTTCCTTATAATGCAAATGTTGTGTACTAATAGTTATTAACCTTGTAAAAATACGATTCGTTACGATAAAAACTATTCAAGTAACCGGTTTTAACATTGCGTTTGATTTGTTTTCTTCTATTTAACTATTTATTATCCCTGTTTTTGTTATTTTATTTAACGTGTCCTTTTATAGGTGCCATGTAATGGAAAAGGAATCTTTTGAGAACGAATCAGTTGCCGAAATAATGAATAAACACTTTGTAAATGTAAAGGTCGACAGAGAAGAGCGTCCCGATGTGGATAGGATGTACATGGCCTTTGTTCAGGCAACAACGGGCGGTGGGGGGTGGCCAATGTCAGTTTTTTTAACGCCCGATCTAGAACCACTGGCCGGAGGAACTTACTTCCCTCCGGAGGATATGTTTGGGAGACCAGGCTTTAAAACCGTACTGAAAAATATCGCTGATCAATGGAAAAGTAGGCAGTCTATGATAAAACAGTCAGGTTCGTACAAAATTAAATTTAGAAGGCAATTAATGGTTTGTTTGTCGCTTGAAATTACTGAAATTGTATTACATAGTCCTACTGTAAGATGTAACATGTTCTAAATCTGGGTTATAAAAATTTGGCAAAGGTGTAGGTGATGCCCCCTTCGGGGGTGGGGGTGGGTGGTGGATGGAAAGAGGAGATCTCCCCCACCACTGTACCATAAAAAGTTTGCGGCGGTCTCACCCCTATAAAAAGTTATGGGGGTTCATACACTATAATTCAAATAAAATTCAATAAAATAATTGTTTTCAAGCGGGTGGAAGTGGGGGATCGAAAGAGGGTGGTAACTTGAACAAAACCCGATAACCTAACCTAACCTACCTTATTGATAAAGATATTTAAATAATGTTTTATATAACTTTCTCAATATTTTTATGTATTTTTCATTAGTTTTACCTTTGAATGTTGTTTAAGAATGACTATATAAATATTTACATGCCTAGAAATGAATGAATATTGGCATATTTATTAACTTTGAACCCGCATAACTTTTTATGGGGGTGAGACCGCCACGAACTTTTTATGGTACAGTGGTGGGGGAGACCTCCTCTTTTGATCCCTTTGGCTATCATCTAGACCTTTACCGAAGTAAGTTACTGTTGCATAGTTTAGGGTTATGGGTATACTATGGGGTCGATTAGGTTTTTTGATATGACTTCGGGAAAATGAATTAAAAAGAAATTATGAATAAAGAACATACAATGATATTAGTTTACATTGCAGCAGAAGGACTAAAAGGAACCACTAAAACTACTCTATAAACAATGAGTGAAGTTTTAAAGTCTTTTTACTTTTATATTCTTTCATTCATAACTTCAGATAGGGTGTAATTCACTGTGCGCTTTTTAGTGTTATAATACTACAAATAGTCCATTTGGTATACTTTTTATCGGACACTGCAGGTGCAACCAAAAATAGCTAAGCAGAGGTTTAGTTGTTTGTGCTTGAAAGTTTCTTTTGTTCAGAAGCATTGCAATTCAGGTCCTTTTAGGAACAAGTGCTTTGTAATTTTTAATTCAAGAGGTTTGAAGCACTTTGAAAGACTTAAAACTTTAAAGTGCTTCAAACACCATTAAAGAGTTTTAAAGTGTTTGAAACACCTTGAAAGGATTTTAAACTGCTTAAAGATTTGAATCTAATTGCTTTTGAAGCAATTGTAAATCGAAGTCCTTGGATTTTTAAATGTAATTAGATCTTAAAGGACTAAAGGAATTCAAGTGAAGGCTTTAGAATGAGGGTTCAGAGTTTGGCTTTGTCCAACTCTGATAACCATGATATTAAACCCCATATACACCAGTGGCGAGTTAAGAACCGAACATAGGGATATTCTGTTACATGTAATCATAAAAGGGTGGCATCATCTTTTGAAAAATACGACGTGGTATAGGAAAATTATGTACAAATACCTTTACTTGAAATTTGGTCTTAATGCCTTTAGAAATAGGTACTTAGCGGGTTTATTACTACTAGTAAAGTAAAAGTAATAAAATTTTACTTTATGTAAATAGGTTTATAAATATTTTTAGTTAAAGATAAATTATTTATAAATAAAATTTGTAACGTTACTCTACTTTTATAAATTTATCTTATGAGCAATGCCAAATGTGTGTTCGTCTATCGTCCTCCAAAACAACGATTTTTCAAAGCTATAACATTGCTTCCTGTTTTCTAGTTCTCTTTCCTACACATATTATCTTAATACAATATTTGTTGAGCTTTTACGCGGATCGTAGATAAATAATTGGATACGTGCGTCAAACGACAATACTATTGACCACGAGTGACGATATTTTAAGCAAATATAACGGCTAAGTTTTATAAAAACTACACTTGTTTACGTTCCATTGACCTTTCGTTATAAATAGGTAAATCGTTTTTGGTGTTAACGAAATATTTGAAACATTACTCATTACTGTTGTGGTAAACAAAAATCATGAGAAAACATTTTTGTCTTATTGAAGGCCACTATAAGTATGTTCTGCTTTTATTTTACAACGTTGTCAAAATACCAATCCTTTTAATATGCATTAGATTGTTTAAAAGTATAAGCAGAAATATTTAAATAAAAAACATCGATGTATTTTTATTTTTAACATTTTTTTTCTTTTTTTTATAATTTCTGTATGCAAAATTGAATAAAACTGATCAGAACTGTTCCATTATTACAATAAATGTAAAACTTTGCAGATAATAATTACTTTTTAGTAAAAAATTGTAGATATTTAGTACATTGGCCTGAAATAAAAACCAGGGATCTGAGTTGATTGTATATATACTTTAAGCGATGTAGGCATTTAAGGTGGTTCTTATGATCAAAACTTCAAAGTAACGGGTTTTTTATGTTTTAAATACTGATATAAAATAAAAATGAGTCGCTTCATTAAAAATTCTAAACGGTATTTAAGTAATTTTTATGCAAATGAAGAATATTGCGAAAATTTTGTTGAAGTAGAAGAAAAAGCATATGATTTTGTTAGGGTTATATGCTTCACAATGAGATATTAAAACAAAATTTTAGATTTACGTAGAGTACAGCTAACATTTTATTCAAGAAAAATGCACCAGCAAATAAAAAAAAAAAAACAACACGCTACTGAAGTGAAACTTCTTCACACACAAACATACCGGAATAGAGGTTAAGGAATTGGTTTAATGGTATTATTTGTACACTATGCTTCGCACGGGTGCAATGTTGATAGTAAATATACTATAGAATGTCTTTATATACAACAATCAGCTTTTTTGTCATTAGACAATACAAACCGGCCGGTACCGCCGCAACCGCTATGTCCCTGCATTTTAAGTCTGTAATATCTTCGAAAATATTCATTTAAATTACATGCTGTAAAGGGGCCATATTGATCTATATTAAATACCAATGTAATTAAAAGTACTTAATTGGATAAGGATTAATGCTGTATTTCTTAATATCGCTACGTAAATAAGCCATTATTTCTCGTAAAAAGTAAAGGATAAAAAATGGTTATTGAGGGTTATCCGTAAGAGATAGATGTATACCATCGCAGACTTAGTTGTAGACCTTTTTAAGGTGTGCAAAACTGTAGTATATTATTTTGATCTATCTCGTAGGGTTCAGCCAGCGTTTGCAATGTAAGCCCAAAAAAATGTGTTTATTTACGACATCACATTACAAACCTCTAAAATTATCAGTGTTTCTCTACTATATTATGCATGTATTATATACATATAAACCTTCCTCTTGAATTACTTTATCTATTAAAAAAACCGCATTAAAATCCGTTTTAAAGATCTAAGCATACATACGGACAGACAGCGGGAGAAATGCGTTGCATGATTTCGTTACATAGCAACTCGCATGAAACACCCTACCGTGCGTAAAGAAGTTTCACTTCAAAAAATATCTATTACAACGTGGTTACAAATATTTTAGGCGACGTTTATGTGACATGTGTGATACTCGAAAGTTGACGGACATTGCTAAAATTCAACATCAAACATTTTTATTTATGTTAACCATCGATTTGTATTGCAAACAGGCAAACACACGGTGGAAGTTTTAAAGAAAGTTTACGAACGTGACCAGGTGTCGTCGTTGAAACTGAACGTACCCTCGATCGATAATTGCGACAGGTGTTTGGCGCAATTGATTCGGAATTATGACGACGAGTACGGCGGTTTTTCCGTCGCTCCAAAGTTTCCGCAGCCCTCGAACTTCAACTTCCTCTTTCACATGTACTCAAAAAACAAGGACAGCGAAAAGGGAAAGACTAGCTTGGAAATGGCTTTGCAGACTTTACAAAAGATGGCGTATGGTGGAATTCACGATCACGTCAACTGTGGTTTTGCAAGGTAATCTATCTACGTACTGAAAAGTGGAATGACCTAGACCCTTCAGGTTTAGACCATTGTTTAGTATTCGGGAAGACACCGGTTCAATTCCGGTGTTGGGGCAGTATTATTCCACAGTCAATTTTTCACTCCCTTCTGTCTCATCTTTCTGATCCAAACTACTTCCCACCTATTCCCAGGATTCCTAAAAGGATACTGAAGAGGGCATTTTGACCTTCCCTCCGAACTCCGGCGTAGTCCTGAGGGACTGCCCGCTCACCAGCATTAGCAGGTGGTAGGAATAAAATATCCAAAGGTTAATGTTAGCTATACTTCGTTTACTTTCTGTAGCGATGTGACCTTCAGTTTGACCGGCGCAAAGTAGAAAAGAACAGCACTAGGCCAGAAAAGGAAGGAGACAACTCTCGGCCAAACTCTTAACCGGTGAGGAGCGTATAATCTGTACAGTACTGCACGGAAAAATTGACCATTTTATCCACTACAATTGCATTGCTCAAATGTGCTGTTATTGGTATCATTTACTACTGAAAATATCAACAAGATGTTTATTTATATTTGAAGACATATTAAAGGCTTTAACGCTTGTTTTCGACTCGCACTACTATTCATGATTAAACAAAACTTTTGGCAGGTACTGTATGAAAAAGTATGTTTAATGAACAAGAGTCGAGAGTATAATGAGCTTTTTTCCCCCTACTTAACGATTTTGCCAGCGCGCATCCAAGACATTGGAAGGGGCACATCGCTACAGAAAGTAAATGAAGTGTACTACATGTAACAAAAAACAGTAGTTTATCCACACCGAGAGATCAATGACGAATTAAACTCACTAACCACTATGACCTTTCTTGCTTCCGAATGTAAAGACCTCTAATTTGACATGTGGTACCTACATGTTCCTGCGACCTGCCCAAACACTACTTTCTAATTGTCATTAAGCGTGTAAATCTTCTGTCTAGGTATTCGGTGGACAGGAAGTGGCACGTGCCTCATTTTGAAAAGATGCTTTACGATCAGGGTCAACTTGTTGTCTCGTACTGTGATGCCTATGTGGTCACAAAGGACGAATTTTATGCAGACGTTGTTAGGGACATCCTCACGTATGTATCGAGAGATCTGAGCCATCCTCTGGGAGGATTTTATGGTGCCGAGGACGCCGACTCCTATCCCCATGCGGAGGCCAAACACAAACAAGAAGGTGAATTTTTTTTATGACATCACAATATATATTATCATTTTTGTAAATATAACTCTTGAAGTATGAAAAAGTCATTTGAAGATGTTGAGCAAAAACTCAAATCAAAGCAGAGAACAATTAGGGAACACAGAATTTTGTTTTTCTTTATAGGTGCTTTTTGTGTTTGGAAATATTCAGAAATTGAAACTCTAATTGAAGACGCGTCGGAACGTGAATTATTCTGTTACCATTATAACGTGAAGCCTGGTGGTAACGTGGATCCGGCTCAAGATCCTCACAAGGAACTTAAGGGGAAAAACGTTTTGGCATGTTTTGGCTCATATGAAGAAACGTCTGAGAAGTTTGGAATGACAATTGATCAAGTAAAAGAAGTTTTGGGCAGATGTCACAAGGTGTTGTACGAGGTTCGACAGACAAAGCCGAAACCTCACGTAGACACGAAAATAGTGACCTCATGGAATGGGCTCATGATGTCCGGATACGCGAAAGCTGGATTTGCTTTGAAGGACCAGACATTTACAAACCGTGCGATTTTGGCCGCCAATTTCATAAGGAAATATCTCTTCGATGAAGAGCAGAAGAGGTTGCTGAGGTGTTGTTATGGAGTAGATGGTCGCGTAGTACAAATGTAAGTGCCCTTATAATGATTTTCCTTGAAAAACTTTTTACGTAATGATTTGTTGCAGTTCTGCCCCTATAAATGGCTTCTTAGACGATTATGCCTTCTTTATAAGGGGGTTGCTGGACTTGTACGAAGCGTCACTGGACACAGACTGGTTACAATGGGCCGAAATGTTGCAGGAATCACAAGACAGACAGTTTTGGGATCCTAACGGTTCTGGATACTATACAAGCCCTGAAGGAGATACCTCTATTCTTATTCGAGGAAAAGAAGGTAGGAAATTTTTCATTTATTTCCATGTTTAAATTGGAGTTGTCTGTAAACTGTGAGGAGTTTTTGAAGTGAAACTTCTTTACGCACGGTAGGGTAAGTTCGTTTCATGCGAGTTGCTATGTAAATCATGCAACGGATGTCCCCCCTCTACTCGGCCACGTAGTCGAGTTCGGAGTGGGGATCGCTTGAGCCGTGAGCGCGCTTCAATGCGACGTTCGTTACAGGCAACTCTGGCATGTATAGTGTAAAATTTAAACTCATAGTGAACACATAAAGCCATTAAACCAATTCCTTAACCCCTATCCCGGTATATTTGTTTGTTTGAAGAAGTTTCACTTCAGTACCGTGTTGTGTAATTACACGTTGTATTTTTTTGGTATGAAAGAGAAAGGGAGGAAAAGCAATATCTACTTCTTCAAAATTATTTTTTTCGCAAAAAAGGTAGGTATCTTGTTGGAAATGGACCATTAGATTTTTCTTATTATTCGATATATGCACATAAATTACACATTGCGATGTTATTATTCAACAAAGTTAAAGAAAACAAACAGGTTGCACATTTACCGTTCGTTTGTATTCTATTTTTCACTCTCGGTTGCGCGAAAATGTACGATTTCAGATATAAAACGAGTTCACGTGTAACAATAACAATATAGGATTATGGAAATGACATTTGGAATGGTTCGTAAAAGGAGTCAGTGAAAATTAAATGAATCTGTATTTTCTTATTAGATTGCCATTTAGATTCTTATGGATAACGGCTCATTCTCATAAAAGTTGATGCGGAATAGTCTTAAAGAAAATAGGGACTGCGAAAATGGGAATAAACCAAGACAAAAGCAGTTCTTTTCACGCCTGATTTTCTTTTCAAATGAATATGGATTAGATATTGGCCGTTTCTGTAGTATTTTTATCTCGAATTATAAAGAATCAAGTCAAATCTATGTGTTTTTTGCTCATCGGTCTATGCAATCTTCTTTCAAAAAGGTGTTTAGGCTTTTTTATCATTAAACACGTATAACAAGATTATATTTATAATTTCTAAAGTGAATTATAATTTGTTACCAAATCCAAAAATTTGTCGATTCTGCCGGCTATCGGAAAATAGACGAAAATATGAAGCTGGCACTACACAAAGCGTATCTCGAAATAAAAATGACGTAGAAAAATACTGCAAGGATTCTAATTTGTCGCTGGAAGATGGTCGTTTTACTCATTTTGTCGCGAATTCGCCTCTAACTGATCATGCAGAAACGTCAAGCTGGTGCTACACCATCCAGAAACAGAAATGTGGTAGAAAAGCATTCCCAGGAGCATAATTTGTCATTAACTTGTTACCAAATCCAAAAATTTGTGGATTTAGCTGATTATCGGAAAGTAGACAAAATGCTACTCTAATATCAAGCTGGCACAATACATAGCGTATCTCGAAATAAAAATAAAAACGATAGAAAATACTGCAAGGATTCTAATTTGTCGCTGGAAGATGGTCGTTTTACTCATTTTGTCGCGAATTCGCCTTTAGCTGATCAGCGAAAAACTATTGGAGAAACGTCAAGCTGACTACACTATAGTGGAATAGAAATATCGTAGAAAAGCACTGTAAGGGCTATAATTTGTCGTTAATTTGCTATTAAATCCAAAAGTTTGTCGCTTTAGCCTGTTACTGGAAAATGAACGAAATGGTACGCTCGAGGCTATACTCGCGACAGTCACGCAATCACGCATCTATCCCTTCGCATGTCCGATCGTCACAGTAATTTTGTTTATAGTACAACAGATAATATTGATCGCATATTTTTCAAAAGCGAATACACCAAACTATTAATGTAAAGGTTGACTGGATTATCCCATTTTCTTTTTATTTGTTGAAGTTGTGATCGTATGACATATCGAGGAAAAGGTCTAGATTTAAGCATTCCAAAACTGTTTTCTTTTTATTTTTATGTCTCTTTATATCATGTGAAATTAAATGCATGAAAAGTACAGAACAAAAGTTCCGAACTTCACTGAGGAAAACTATTCGCTACAATTCGGGAGAGGTTTTATAGTTTTTGAGAAATTCGGGATTTTCTGTTGCCAACAAACTTTTAATGTCAATGGGATCAAAATTCACGGTATGAAATCTCCTGTGTCGAAATCGCACTTACATTACAATATTTTGTTAATGCGTTGAATTGAATACTAGGGGATTAAGGAGAATGACTAATTATAATTATTAATTGTATCAGAATATAAAAAGTAGAAAGAGGAGACTGTGGTAAATATTAATTAAAAATTAAAAGGAAGACTCACCCCCTAATTGCCACAACAAACTTTATTTGAGCGGACACGTGTTTCGCGTTGATAATGCCCACGTATGAAGAGGGCGAAACACGTGTCCGCTCAAATAAAGTTTTTTTGTGGTAATTAGGGGTGAGTCTTCCTTTTAACTTTTGATTAATATTTACCACAGTCTCCTCTTTCTACATT